CTGTCATGAACAAACACACCGCCTCATATGAACACACACCGCCTGCCAGACAACACACCGCCCTGTCATGAACAATATAAACCAAGGCACCTAGAAATGGCATGGAAGGGGGGGGGTGGGAAGGGGGAGGGGGGAGGTAGTAGGGGGAAATGAAGGGGGAGTAGGTAGAGAGAGGAGTAAGAGTGCAGGAGAGGGAATAGGGAGAAGGGAGAGAGAGGAGAGGAGGGGGAGGAGGGAAACGTTAAAAGTTACAGACGGACAAGGAAATAAAACTAATAGAGGCTGTGAGGAAGATTGTGAGGCTGAGGAAGATTGGGAGGCTGTGAGGAAGATTGTGAGATCTGAGGAAGATTGGAGGCTGTGAGGAAGATTGTGAGAAAGATTGTGAGATTGTGGAGGAAGATTGTGAGACTGTGAGGAAGATTGTGAGGCTGTGAGGAAGATTGGGAGGCTGTGAGGAAGATTGTGAGAAAGATTGTGAGATTGTGAGGAAGATTGTGAGACTGTGGAGGAAGATTGAGGCTGTGAGGAAGATTGTGAGGCTGGGGGAAGATTGGAGGCTGGGGAAGATTGTTAGGCTGTGAGGAAGATTGGGAGGCTGTGAGGAAGATTGTGAGACTGTGAGGAAGATTAGAGACTGTGAGGAAGATTGTTAGGCTGTGAGGAAGATTGTGAGACTGTGGAGGAAGATTGTGAGACTGTGGGGAAGATTGTTAGGCTGTGAGGAAGATTGTGAGGATTGAGATTGGAAGATTGTGAGACTGTGAGGAAGATTGTGAGGCTGTGAGGAAGATTGTGGAGGCTGTGGGAAGATTGTGAGGCTGTGGGAAGATTGTTAGGCTGTGAGGAAGATTGTGAGGCTGTGAGGAAGATTGGAGACTGTGAGGAGATTGGAGACTGTGAGGAAGATTGTGAGACTGTGAGGAAGATTGTGAGGCTGTGAGGAAGATTGTGAGACTTTGAGGAAGATTGTGAGGCTGTGAGGAAGATTGTGAGAAAGATTGTATTTTTGTAGTTAGAATTCTGAAGCTGTCGAAATTACACTATAAATTATAATACCCATCAAGGTATTTTGTCATATTTACTAAAGTTTTTCTCGCTGAAATTCACAAACACACACTCTCTCTCTCTCTTCTCCTGCCCAACACCTAATCCAGTTGACTGCGTTGGTGCTGGGCTGTGTAGGGCTGGGACGTGTTAGTACTGGTAGTTGTGTTAGAGCCTACCGCATCATGTTGGTAGTGGTGTCAATATTGCTAATGGTGGTGTCATTACTATGGTAGCGGTGTCACAACTTCGGTACTGTATCTTGTTGGTGTTAACAACCTGATGGTATAGTGATAACAGAACCCTCATTTAGCATTGGTATTGTTTTCAGGTCTATTTGGTACTACAATCCTGTTATGTTGTGGGTACTGGAACAAGAACCTCGGTACGGTGTGGGTATTGCTGGAATCACAAACCCCGGGTATCATTCTGGTACGTCACACACACACACACACACACACACACACACACACACACACACACACACACACACACACACAAAAATAAATATATATAATTTGTTACAAAATCATAAATTACAGGTACTCTATTTTACGAATTTAAACCATTTATAATATAATTTGTATTATTATTATTATTATTATTATTATTATTATTATTATTATTATTATACAAATGCCACAGGTAATTTGCATATGGTAGTTGCTCACTTGTCATTGACTAGCTATTAAAAAGAAAAGATTCAGGCCGGGTTAATATAATGAACAAATACTGTGTTGACAAATGGTATGAATCACACTGAAAGGTCCCGAAGGAGATGAGGTGGGGGGGGTGTTGTTTATGGCGGGAGAGAGAGAGAGAGAGAGAGAGAGAGAGAGAGAGAGAGAGAGAGAGAGAGAGAGAGAGAGAATGCTTGTTTGCTTTAAGTTAGATCATAATACAGGTGGATATTTTGTGAAAATGATACAGTTTATGAGTTTTTCAGTAAGTGAAGGCCGCTAATTGTTAACTATAGTTAGTTAAGGCCGCTAATTGTTAACTATAGTTAGTTAAGGCGCTAATTGTTAACTATAGTTAGTTAAGGCCGCTAACTGTTAAATATAGTTAAGACCGCTAACTGTTAACTATAGTTAGGGCCGCTAACTGTTAAATGTATAATTAAGGCCATAACTGTTAACTAGTTAGTTAAGGCCGCTAACTGTTAAATATAGGTTCAGCCGCTAACTGTTAAATATAGTTAAGACCGCTAACTGTTAACTATAGTAAGGCCGCTAACTGTTAAATGTATAATTAAGGCCGCTAACTGTTAACTATAGTTAGTTAGGGCCGCTAACTGTTAAATATAGTTAGTTCAGGCCGCTAACTGTTAAATATAGTTAGTTCAGGCCGCTAACTGTTAACTATAGTTAAGGCCAACTGTTAACTATAGTTAGGGCCGCTAACTGTTAAATATAGTTAGTTCAGGCCGCTAACTGTTAAATATGAGTTAGTTCGGGCCGCTAACTGTTAACTATAGTTAAGGCCGCTAACTGTTAACTATAGTTAAGGCCGCTAACTGTTAACTATAGTTAAGGCCGCTAATCAAACTATAGTTAAGGCCGATGTTAACTATAGTTAAGGCCGCTAACTGTTAAATATAGTTAGTTCAGACCGCTGTTAACTATAGCTAGTTAAGGCCGCTAACTGTTAAATATAGTTAGTTCAGGCCGCTGTTAACTATAGAGGTTAAGGCAGCTAATTGTTAACTATAGTTAGTTAGGCCGCTAACTGTTAAATATAGTTAGTTCAGGCCGCTAACTGTTAAATATAGTTAGTTCAGCCGCTAACTGTTAAATATGTTAGTTCAGCTGTTAACTATAGTTAGTTAGGCGTCGCTAACTGTTAAATATAGTTAGTTCAGGCCGCTAACTGTTAACTATAGTTGTTCAGGCCGCTGTTAACTATAGTTAGTTGGCGTCGCTGTTAACTATAGAGTTAAGGCCGCTAACTGTTAAATATAGTTAGTTAAGGCCGCTAACTGTTAAATATAGTTAGTTCAGGCCGCTGTAAACTATAGGTTGTTTAACTGTTAACTATGGTTAGTTCAGGCTGCTGTAAACTATAGTTAGTTAAGGCCGCTAACTGTTAACTAGTTAAGCCGCTAACTGTTAACTATAGTTAAGCCGCTAACTGTTAACTATAGTTAGTTAAGGCTGCCAACTGTTAACTAGTTAAGGCCGCTAACTGTTAACTATAGTGTTAAGGCCAACTGTTAACTATAAAGGCGCGCTAACTGTTAAATATGTTAGTTCAGCCGCTCCTTAACTATAGTTAGTTAACGCCGTCTGTTAAATATAGTTGGCCGCTAACTGTTAACTATAGTTAAGGCCGCCGCTAACTGATAACTATAGTTAAGGCCGCTAACTGTTAAATATAGTTAGTTCAGGCCGCTGTTAACTATAGCGTTGCCGCTAACTGTTAAATATAGTTAGTCAGGCCGCTGTTAACTATAGTTAGTTAAGGCAGCTAATTGTTAACTATAGTTAGTTACGCTTACTGTTAAATAGTTAGTTCAGGCCGCTAACTGTTAAATATAGTTAGTTCAGGCCGCTAACTGTTAAATATAGGTTCAGGCCGCAATTATAGTTAGTTAGGCCGCTAACTGTTAAATATAGTTAGTTCAGGCCGCTAACTGTTAACTATAGTTAGTTCAGGCCGCTGTTAACTATAGTTAGTTAAGGCCGCTGTTAACTATAGTTAGTTAAGGCCGCTAACTGTTAAATAAGTTAGTTAGGCCGCTAACTGTTAAATATAGTGTTGCGTCGCTGTAAACTATAGTTAGTTAAGCCGCCAACTGTTAACTATGGTTGTCAGGCCGCTGTAAACTTTAGTTAGTTGCTGCCGCTAACTGTTAACTATAGTTAAGGCCGCAAACTGTTAACTATAGTTGGCCGCTAACTGTTAACTATAGTTAGTTAAGGCCGCTAACTGTTAACTATAGTTGGGCGCCGCTAACTGTTAACTATAGTTAAGGCCGCTAACTGTTAACTATAGTTACACGCTAACTGTTAAATATAGTTAGTTCAGGCCGTCTGTTAACTATAGTTAGTTAAGGCCGCTAATTGTTAACTATAGTTAAGGCCACTAACTGTTAACTATAGTTAGTTAAGCTCACTGTTAACTATAGGTAGTTAAGGCCGCTGTTAGCTATAGTTAGTTAAGGCCGCTAACTGCTAATTATTGTTAGTTAAGGTAGCTGTTAACTATGGTTAGTTAAGGCCGCTAACTGCTAATTATTGTTAGTTACAGCTAACAGTTAACTGTAGTTAGTTAAGGTCGCTAACTGCTAACTATAGTTAGTTAGGACCACTAACTGTTAACTGTAGTTAGTTAAGGCGGCTAACTGCTAACTATAGTTAGTTAAGTCCTAACTGCTAACTATAGTTAGTTAAGGCCGCTAACTGCTAACTATAGCTAGTTAAGGTCCCTAACTGCTAACTATAGTTAGTTAAGGCCGTTAACTGTTAACGAGGATAAGTTAAGTCATAATTATAGCCATAATAAAGAAGGCTGAGTCAACCGATGACGAGTGTTATCATTAACACAATGAACAACAATGTACACAAATAACTGTTTGGATTTATTCTAATTAAGACGATTTTTTTTTATAAAAAGGAATAGTTTCACTATAATATAATATAATATATAAACATAACACCACTTCCGACAGAGGTGAATATAATATAATATAATATAATATAATATAATGTAATATAATGTAATATAATATAACATAACACCACTTCCGACAGAGGTGAATATAATATAATATAATATAATATAATGTAATATAATGTAATGTAATATAATATAACAGCACTTCCGACAGAGGTGAAGATATGACTCCCTGAACAATATTCGCGTAGCCGGAGCAAAAATTTACCCAGATATATTGATGTGTTGAGATAAGATAGTTGTGTTGGTGGTAATAATATACTGTATACACTACTGACCTGGTCCAGACAGTGGGCCCGACATTGTGCCATTTTAAAAGCATCTTGTAAGTCCAGGGCAGGAGAGGCTGTGGTTGTTACCAGGCCGACCAGCACCACCAACCACGCCGTCGCTGTCATATCCATTCTACAAAATGTCTTTAAAAATATAGTCTTCGTTTTTCGCACACTTGGTCGATTTTTTCACTGATGCACCAAGACGGCGTGGAGGCCAAAGAGGTCACACGAGGGAAGAGGGTGCGAGGAACTGCTCACTACAATAGTTAAGCGAGGACTGTCTTGTGGGCGGCCTCTCAGACCATTTTGCTGATCAGATGCTAGCAGTTACTGATTTTAAATTTTACATATATTTTAACTTCTCAAATTGTAGTTATTTTTTACACATCTGGCAACTATACCTTGATTAATATAGGGAAATAGCTTTTATGATTATCTTTATATCTCAAACAAAGATGCTGTTTATGAGTAAAGTCATATTCGACAGGAAAAATAAACCAATAACTGGTACCTCAGGAGCACCATGGTTCGGGCAACGTTGTGAGGAATTAAGTTGCCAACTGTTCCTTTATCTAGAGAAAAATATCGCCAGTGAGGCCACTATCAATAGTATAATGGTCATATCTCCAGGCTCTTTATAAATTATCCTATAACATTTCAACAAAAGACTCCGCAATGTTTACTTAAGTGAACGCCTTAAAAGGCCAAGGAGGGAATACAAACAGTCGCACACTGCCAGGCGCGGTCTGACAATAACATCTCCTAAAACCAAATACTTAAAATGTTATAATAAGGCAACAATAAAGTTCTGCACATCAACTAATAAAAAGAATACCATAATTTGAATCCCGATTGCCGGTGTATTAACCCCCGTAAGTTGGTCTGGCTCTATAATTATACGCAGGGTTAATTGTACCATAAGAGTTAGTGACGTCGCCTCTGGAACAACTTTACCTCCCAGATATTTGTGTTTTTCTTTGTCACTGTGCACGTGTGTGTGTGTGTGTGTGTACGCCGTTCTTCTCACAGTGTACATGTGCCTCTATGCATGTATTCATGTGTGATTGTCCATAACACGTATGTAAGTATGTATGTATGAGAGAGAATGTGTAAGTTTGCGGTTCTGCTAAACATGAGGATGTTACCTGCATATGTTTGTGTATGTAATCATGGGCTCTTATATGCTTACAGATGTGCACATGTATGTATTTCTGTATGAATTTTAAATACCGGGAAGAGGAGGAGGGGGAGAGAGTCAGGTCACGTACAAATATAGTCTTTTGCATCAATATATTTCTTATTTTAATATTTTCTTCAGTACGACTTTATGCATCAACAAAGCAGTAGTTATACGTGTGTGAGCCTTATAGGGCCTTAGGAGAAACTGTGAGGGTGTAGACCTTACTTAACTGTCTGATCACCGTTCTTCTTCTTCTTATTCTTCTTATTATTATTATTCTTATTATTATTATTATTATTATTTGTATTGAGGGAAGGGCAAAGGTAAGAGAAGGGGGGTTATATCTAAGTGGGGGAGAAGGATAGGGAGGGAAAAAAATAGGGTAGGGTGGGGGAATTATATGAGGGGAGGGTGAGGCACAAGGAGGTGTAGGTAAGATAGATAAGGGAAGGGATGATGAGCATGAATAGGTGTAGGTATGCTGGATGGGTAATGGGGATGAGGGAGGCGTATTAGGTAGGCTGGATGGGTAATGGGGGGTTGAGGAAGGTATGGAAGAGAGGGGATGGGGGTTGTCCAGGAGAGCAGCTGCCTACCGATACCAAGTGTTGCCATATATCAGTCACCTAAGTCTGTCTATTCTCATACGTCTACTTGTTAAAATCTACCATATATATAAATCTACAAGCATATATATAATTTTTAATTTCATCTTCCAGAGGCTATCTACTTTAAACTAATTTCGACGGCTGATTGTATTTCTGACTGAAGTGTTGGTAACATCTTAATCCAGGCGCGACATTACTGTGACCGTCTCTCTCTCTCTCTCTCTTTAGCTAAAACTGTGTGTCTGCGTCTGTCTCTGTCTATTCGTCTTTGTCTCTAAAACTAACGTCTACTTTTTCATTAAGATCCTTATATTTGCTTTTGTTTGTTTCGTTAAAAGTAAAACACCACACACACACATACACCACAAGCCTGCCTCTCACCACCTCAACTCGGGTTCGATGCCTGTTTGGGTTAGCTGTGACTCCTGTGGGACGGGGGTGTGTACAGGAAATTATAACATCTATCTATTTATCAATGTATCTCTCTAAGCAAAATTCTTCGTTTGAGAAATGCAGAGAGACCTGACAGTTGTAGCATTAGTAAATATGACAAATTTTGTGACAAGAGGTACCGGTATGGCCAGCATAAGGACAGAACCAGACAATGTGATGTAGTCGTGGCCAGAATTAGGCTAGGATACAGACACATCTGGCAAGTTAGTAACGCTGTACCCATACCGGAACACTCAGCATGTAAACTTTGTGATAAACCTTTGAAGCATACACTTGAGCTTTATATTATTGAATGTGACACTGTCAAAGACTTCAGGCCACCTGACTTACTGTATCTTGAACTATGTAATTACTTCATTGAATCAGGTGTGCTTGAGGACATTCTTGCTGTTTATCCCAAATTTGCTAGCCCACACTGATTAGTCTTCAATTAGAATATGACTCCAATGTATGTGATCCACTGACCCATATATGCTGCTGGTGAATGTGATGTATTTCCTTCTATGTGTACGAACCTCTGTCCTGCGTGGCAGTGAAAAGTGGCATTACCCACATGAATCTGACCTATATATAGTGTCAATGAATATGATGCATTCTTTGTGTACGAACCTCTGTCCTGTATGGCAGTGAACAGTGGCATTACCCACATGAATCTGACCGACGTATATGTATGTATGTGTGCGTGTGTGCATGTATATGTACGTGTACATGTATATGTGTATGTATATACGTATATGTATGTATATGTGTGTGTGTGTGTGTGTGTGTGTGTTTACATATATGTATATGTACTGTCAATGAATATGATGCAACTCTTTGTGTACGAACCTCTGTCCTGCATGGCAGTGAACAGTGACATTATCCATATGAACCTGACCTATATACATTTATAGTTGTTAATGAACATGATGTATTTCTTTGTGTGTGAACCTCTGTCCTGCGTGACAGTGAGAAGTGATACCACCCTCAGTGTCAAGACCTGATTGAATTACTCAGAATAGGCAAACTGTACTACAAGCTCTGCCAATAAATTTGTTAAACTAAAAAAAACTTCGTTTGAAAAATATCAATAAACGAAAAATCTTAATAAATTTCAATTAGAGAAAATAGCAAAAAAGTCCAATAAAGCAATATGCTAGAAAATTAAAAAAAAATATTTATTGCATAAATTCGAGTCTAGTTTTGGTATAATTAATTAATAAATAAAAATCCAAATATAGAGTTTTAGGTAATATATAACGATTAGTTGACTGACAAATGTTACTTATGCACCACCATGTATTGAAACAATCAAAGTATGTGTTTCACTGTACAGGTATGTATATATATATATATATATATATATATATATATATATATATATATATATATATATATATATATATATATATATATATATATATATATAAATTCATTACATACAGTAAAATCTCTTAATCCGGAGCCTTTTTATCCGAATTTATCCGGATTGAATCCGGATTAACAGGAAATAGTCCGGATCTACCCACATGTTGACAAAAATAAACAAATGCTTTGAATTACTTGAATCACTAAACTGCAGTATAATATATATAATTATTGTACATACTGGATGATGCAGAGTACTTACCACAAAGTGGGTGCTGGTGGTGGTAGAGGCGGAGGATGGAGGCTTATCTCTAATTTAGTTATTGTACACAATACATTACTCTAGTTACACAGCACTGTAGACTGTACACAATACATTACTCTAGTTACACAGCACTGTAGACTGTACACAATACATTACTCTAGTTACTCAGCACTGTAGACTGTACACTATACATTACTCTAGTTACACAGCACTGTAGACTGTACACAATACATTACTCTAGTTACACAGCACTGTAGACTGTACACTATACATTACTCTAGTTACACAGCACTGTAGACTGTACACTATACATTACTCTAGTTACACAGCACTGTAGACTGTACACAATACATTACTCTAGTTACACAGCACTGTAGACTGTACACTATACATTACTCTAGTTACACAGTACTGTAGACTGTACACTATACATTACTCTAGTTACACAGCACTGTAGACTGTACTGCATATTACCTAGTATTTTATATTGTAGACTGTACACTATATATTACTCTAGTTACAGCACTGTAGACTGTACACTATATTACTCTCTAGTCACACAGCATTGCAGATCGTACACTATATATTACCTTGTTATGGCTGTGCACTGTGGACTGTACACTATGCACATTCTAGTTACACAGCACTGTAGACTTGCAAGAATGTTATACATTACTTCTCCTAGTTATTGGCAATTGTAGACTGTACACTATATATTACTCTAGTTACACAGCACTGTAGACTGTACACTATATATTACTCTAGTTACACAGCACTGTAGACTGTACACTATACATTACTCTAGTTACACAGCACTGTAGACTGTACACTATACAGTACTCTAGTTACACACCACTGTAGACTGTACACTATACATTACTCTAGTTACTCAGCACTGTAGACTGTACACAATACATTACTCTAGTTACTCAGCACTGTAGACTGTACACTATACATTACTCTAGTCACACAGCACTGTAGACTGTACACTATACATTACTCTAGTTACTCAGCACTGTAGACTGTACACAATACATTACTCGAGTTACTCAGCACTGTAGACTGTACACTATACATTACTCTAGTTACACAGCACTGAAATAAAAGTAATGACTGCTACTGACTTCCTCCTCCAGCAGCACCAATGGAGGCACGAAAGAAGACCTGCCTGAGCCTAGCGGTGTAGAGGCTCTTTACCAGCTGCAGGAAGGTAGACAAACTAATGATTCACTCTGTCTCGCTGACACTTTCAGATTTGACCCTCTGCCTCTTAGCTGACGGCAGAGTAGGGAAATTACTGGTGATCTTCCGTTGTTACTTATCCGGGCACTAGTTAAATTCCAACCTGCATATTCTGATGCCTTCATAAAACTCATTGAGGACCCCCCCCCCCTCCCTCGCTGGTCTATAAT